GTGCCCAAGATGTGAAGGCCAGATCCATACTGACAGCATGCCCATTACTACAAATTGTGATTATACCCCATGTCCCCCACCCAATTATCCCCGACCTCCCTCCCTATCCCCTTTTCCCCCACTCCACTTTGTATTTCTAGGTATGCTCTCTCGCTCTGCAAGTCCAACACACCACTGTGGTCTTTCTTTCCTTCCTTCTTTCTCTCTTAGCTCCCACATGAGTGAGTACATGTGTATTTATCCTTCTGTGCTTTGCTTATTTCACTTAACGTAAGTTTCTCCATGCTCATCCATGTAGTTGCAAGTGGGAGTATTTCATTCTTTTTTATGGCAGAGTAGTATTCCATGGTGTATACATACCACAGTTTCCTTATCCAATCATCCATCGATGGACATTTAGGTTGGTTCCATGTCTTGGCTATTGTAAACAGAGCTGCGATGAACATGGGAGTGCAGGTATCCCTTCAATGTACTAAGCATAATTACATAGAATTCTAAGCATTTATTCCTAGAAGATGTTTGATTTAAGTTTCTGGTAACTCTAACAGAGATAATGAGTGGCAATGTTTAAGCATGGCTAATCTTGACTTAAAAAATATGAATTATAAATTATTAAAATGGCAGCGTGAATAGATGAAACTGAACGAAACCATTTTGTATAGCAAAATGGAAAGCTAAGTAAAAAGGGAGTTGAGAAAACAAATACCGGTTTTCTGGGGTAGTGCCATACTTCCAAGCTGTAGGACCCCTGATATAACTGAGGTGGGGATGCAGATCTCATGTTGTCTCTTTCTATGGTTCAGAGAAAGCATAGACCTCTCGTGGTGTCATATATGTCCTATAAACACTAAGAGAATTGTTTTATATTTCAAAATCATCTTTCATATCAACCACCCAGACTTAATAGAAGCAATATGGAGCACGATATGTCCTGTATGATTTCTTTTGTGGCCATAAGGCTGTGACATTGAGACATCATCCATTTGCAACCAGGACTGTTCACTGTGGAAGATGGAGTACTTGTGAAGACATTTTAGGTAAAGGAGTAATGGCTTCACCTGATACATCACTGATTATTTCCTTAATTGGTTATCAGCTCTTCATTTTTTGTAGATAGTGAAAAAGTTTAAGATAATAGATCTTTTAAGGACTCAGTTTGGTTGTTACTTTCCACTGGTGAGCAGAATGCTGCTGCCACTTCTTTTAGAAAGAGAAATGCAAAGATTGCTCTGCTACTCACGCTTTCTACTACAACTCAGTGGCAGAGATGTCTCAGATATAAAACCATTTTCTCATAGAGAATGTGCAGGAGACATTGCCACATTCTGCAGTCTAGCCAATCTCTGGTGTGCTTCCCAGTCAGGTTGTTATAGACCCTTTTCCTAGAATGTTTATATCACTGGTTGGTTCAGGACTATAAACAACTACAGAATGATACCACTTATTTTTTTATATTCACTTCTGGTTCCTAAAGCTTCTTCCCATCTTCCTTCCCTCTCTCTTTTTCCTCCCTTCTTCCCTTTCTTCCCTCTCTCCTTCCTGTGTACACACAGTCTGCCATTAGGAAGATAGGCCCAGGGACAAGGTCCACACAGGCCCTAGAAGAGGGCTCACAGCCATTAGGGCAGCACACCCCAGAGCCCTGAGTATCTAGAATTGATCAAGAAGTGGAGAGGATGCAGGCTCTCTGTGGAAAAATTCTCTTGGTCCTACAGTCACCGCACCAGTAGGGAAGACAGTGTTGCCAGAGTGGGGCACTCTGAAACACAGAGATAATGGGCCCCACTTGCCTAGGTCTGTGGGTCTAACTCCTGTCTCTCTTGAGTCTTATAGTCAGGAATGGCATTTCACTCCTTTCTCCCTTTGAAGGTCCTCTCCCTTTGAAGCTTTGATGAATAGGCTCTCTTCACACTGACTGCTGAGTTGGAGCTGTCATGTGCCATGGACACTTGCTCAGGTTCCTGCCATAGTGGGTGTCACTCTCTGACCGTGCATGTCCACTAAGGGTAAATAAAGTCAGATCAGGTGGCTGTATAAGTAAGAATTCAAAGAAGTTTTGGAATTAGTTGATTTAGATGTTTCTGATATCATGTCTAAGTGACACCAGAGTGACTAATTAACATTTTATTATGGATCTCCATTTGTTTTCTTATTAAATCTTTTATATTAACTGTTTGACTTGACAGTTTAGTTCACATTGACTTAGAGTAGGGCTAACCATCTCTAAACTGTCTATGGCCTGTGTCTGTCTGGAATACAACTAGCCACCAGTATTATTTCTCTGGATTACTACAAAGTCTTCCTGTATGATCTCTCTGCTTCCCGCCTTTGCTTCTCTACAACCCATTCTCTGTACAGCAGCCATACTGACTTTTTTTTTTTTTGTCCTTTTTTTTGAGACTGGCCGCACCGTGCTCAGCCAGTGAGCGCACC